AGATTATTTTATACCGTTCTTCGCCCTCTGAGCTTATGCTGCTCCCACTGTACTTAAGGACCGCATCTCAGAAATGATTCCGAGAACCCAGGAGAGTACCGAAACAGTGCCGAGCGAGTATCGCCTCCCAGGGCCCGACACGTGAAAACCATCAAGCTTCGGTTTCTTGGTGCTCGAAATTCTTTCTGGCTGTCAAGGCTAAAATAAGTTGGAACATTATAAATAGGTCCGACGCGATACGTCTGCCGAAACGTGGGCCTATACACTGAGCCAGCATGCAGCGTAATGGCATGGACGCTTTAACCACCGTGCCCGTTGCGTCTCAGAACGGGCGTGTCGAGGCGTCTGAGCTGGAACGGCTCTTGCGCCGCCCCTGACCATTACTGAGGGGCAACGATCGGCGGGACTTGCACGGGGGGGGCGACATGCCGCCGGTAGATCGGCGATAGGCCCCCGATAGCGAATCCGCACGTTCCTGGGCAGGTTGGGGCTATCAGGCCCGTATCGGCGATCAATGGGCGGTGAGGGGCCGATGTGTCCCCCCCTATGCTGGTCCCCCCCCTACGCTGGTCCCCCCCCTCCCCCCTATCGATGTCCCTGAGTCACCCCGGGTGCGGTGGCGGAGTAGGCCGCAGGCCACCAGAGACCGGGAACGCGGAAGGGCTCCGCACTCCCACCCCGCCGCCCCTGCGGGCATGCCTGGCCATCGCTCGGACGTCCATTCCCTGTGCTTTTTTCGGTTTCGTGCGTGGTCTTTCCGTCAAATGATTAAGGATGCTCCTCGATGGTCCTCGCCGAAAGAAAAATGCACACGTCCGAGCGATGCCAAGATGCAAGAGGCACATCTGGATCTCCGAGTTGTTGCCGAGCCCTCCCGGCCCTCCCGGCCCTGAGGAGTCTGGTCAAGGTTGAGACGGGGGAGGATGCCAGTGGAGCAGGGCTGGGCCTAAACCTAAACGTTGTTTTGTTTCGCTTTGTGTTCGTTCTGCTCTGCCTGCTTTCCTGCACCTCCCCGCCAACATGAAAAACAACACGCAGCCGAAGTCCAGCAAAACAGCGCTTAGGTCCAGCCCTGCCAGGGAGGAGGGGCCAGATGGAAGCGGGGAGGGGCGGTCAGCAGGGGGGGGGCGCCAGGGGTCGCGGAGAGGGGCGGGGCGCGGCAGTTCGCACGATGACCCCGTCGCCAAAGTGGGGCCCAAGGGGGCACAAAAGAGATCGACACGCAAAGTCCAGGACTGCCCACACCTTTCCGCGCTTCCTGGGCCTGCCTCCGCCCTCTCATTTCCCATATCTTCCCATTTCCAGACATCCTCCTCCTCCTCCTCCTCCTCCTCCTCCTCCTCCTCCTCCTCCTCCTCCTCCTCCCCCTCCTCCCCCTCCTCGATGCGTGCGCCCAACAAGTCTGGACCACTTCCCCCAGGGCCGGTTTTTCGACCTGAGTCGTTTTTGACTGTCCCGAAGCCTGGCGAGAGCCCCCGGATGCCGAAAACAGCCCAAAACTGCCCGCTCCAATTCCCAACCATCCTGTGGTGTTGGGTCCCCGTTTTGAGGAGACAGCGCCCCGCGTTCCTCCTTTTCTCCTCCTCCTCCCCCTCCTCCCTCCTCCCATCCCTCCCTCTGCCCACGGACACCCCTCACACGCTTCGTGGCCCCATAGGGAGCTCCACCGAAGGCCCCAGTGGCAGGGTTCACATGGCGGCGTTGCTCCACTTTGGCACACACACACACACACACCTCACACGGTTCGTGGTCACATAGTGAGCTCCACCGCAGACCCCAGTGGCAGGGTTCGCATGGCGGCGCCGCCCCATTTTTAGTACATCCTTTACACGGCTCGTGGTCCCATGGGGGGCTCCACCAAAAGCCCGAGTGGCACGGTTCGTGTGGCGGTGCCGCCCAATTTTGGCCCCCCTCACACGGTGGCCTTCGGTGGGGCTCCCTGTATGACCACGAAACGTGTGAGGGGTGGGCCGAAGTAGATGGGATGCAGCATATGAACGCAGCCGCTGGGGCCTTGGGTGGAGCTCCCTATGCTGCCACGAAGCGTGTGAAGGGTCCGCCAAAGTTAGGGGGTGACGGGAGGAGGGAGAATGGGGAGGAGGAAAAGAGGAGGGGAGGAGGAGGAGGAGGAGGAGGAGGGAGGAGGAGGAGGAGGAGGAGGAGGAGAGGAGGAGGAAGAGGAGGAGGAGGAGGAGGAGGAGAGAGGAGGATGAGGGGAGGAGGGGGGAGAGGAGGAAGGGGAGGAGGAGGAGGAGGAGGCGGAGGAGGAGGAGGAGGAGGCGGAGGAGGACGCGGGGTACCGTCTCTTCAAAACGAGTACCTAACACCACAGGATGATTGGGAGAAAACGAATAGCTTTGAAGTCCCCCCTGTGGCAAAACAATATCAACTGCAAACATGAAGGGGGGGTAGCTTCCGAAGCCCCCCCCCTTGAAAGAGAAGCCCGGGCTAACCTTAGGCTCCTGAATCAGGAGGAAGCGGGGAGGTAACTTTGAAGCTCCCTCCCCGGTTGAGGCCCCCCCGCCCTGGCACGGCAACCTCAGCTGCGAAAAAGAGGGGTGGGGTAGCTTCCGAAGCCCTCCCTCCTTGCAAGGGAAGCCCAGCCTGACCTTTGGCCCCGAAAAGAAGGGGGGGTAGCTTCCAAGCCCCCCCCCTCCTTTAGCTAGGGCCCCCCTGGCTCCGAAATGTCGACAAAAAAAGGGGGACGGGGCGGGGAGCTTCAGAAGCCCCCCCCCCTTCCCAAGGGATGGGGGGGTAGCTTGAAGCTGGGCTCCCACTTTTAATGAGACGTGCGTCACAAACGCGCTCGTTCGTACATACGAGTTGCCGGGAGAACACGTACTATCCACCCCGAACCCTGAACTTGAGTATGCCCACCCTGTGATTATCAGTGGCATAGGGTTCACACAACTGGGGATGTGCCAAAGGACGTGTCAGTGAACGTGTCTCGGGGCGTGTCGGGGAACGTCTTTGGGACTTGTCAAGGGGCCAGTCTGGGGGCGCGTCGGGGTCGTATCCAGGTGATTCGCGTCTGGAGGCGTGTCCGAGGTCGTGTCCGAGCAATCGTGCCCCGTAGCGTATCCAGGGGCTTGCCTGGGGCTTGCCTGGGGCGTGCCCTGTGGCATGCCAGGGCACGTGCCTGGGGGCGTGTCCCAGGTCGTACCCGTGGCCCTGTCAGGCCAGGGGACACGCGGGGGAGCGTGCCTGTGACTCGAGGGCTCGCTGGCGGGTGGGGCCGCGTCCGTGGCCGTCTCTGGGGACGACACTGGGGGCATGCCTCGGGACATGCCTAATGACGTGTCCGGGGAGGCTAGGGTTAAGTCGGGCGTGTCCCCCTACAGGGGGATTTTCGACGAACAATAAAAAATACACAAAAACATGCCCCCAACTGGTCAGAAAATACTAAAAAAATAGTCCCCAGACGATTTTTGGACTATTTTTGAACATTCCTCCTGGAGAGGAGGGACAGGCCCGTCGTAAGTCTAGGGGGCGTGCCCGGGGCGGGGGCTGGGGACGTTCCTGGGGCGCACCACTGTCCGGACCTGGTGCTCGCCATTGCCGCGCGGGACGGATGCCCGAGACGTGCACAGGCAGGAGGCAGTCCCTTCCCCTCCCTCCCCCTCCCCTCCCCCTCGCACAGGGCCCCGGGGTCCTCGCAGATCGATCGGGCTCGGGGCGGCTCTGGGCACGCGCCGTGCCCAGAGCCGCCTGGAGCGGACAGGCGCTGTGAGCAGCCGCCCCCCGGCAGGGTGCCGAGACCTCTGGGAGCCCACGCGACGAAGACGTCACGACGCCTGGACCCTCGGGGAGCAGAGGGATACAGGGTCGAGGATCGAGGGCTGGCACGTGGTGCCAGGATCGTCTAGACGGCGCGGCATGCCAACAGCCGATGCGGCTCGTGATCTGGAGCCTGGCGCCCCATGCTCGAGCGGGCGCGTGCGGACTGCACACGGGGCGCTCCTGGGACGCGCCGCCGTCTGGCCCTGGGGCGCTCCCTTCAGAACGGCCACAAGGATCGAAGGATGGTGGTCGCCCCCCCCCCACCATCGCCTTTGCCACCCGTGCAGAGTGCAGCTGGGCCAAGGATTCGCGTGTCTCAGACTGCGGCATCACGGTTGCACATACCAGCGCGACCTGCAAGTCTTTCACCAGCACCTTGCCGCTCCTTTCCTGGCGGCGCAGGCATCACAGAGGCCCTGGCATCCCAGGAGAGCCCGAAGTCGAATCGATAAGTCGGATCGGCGATCGAAATAGATCGGATCGGCAGAAATCGACAGCCGAGTCGGGAGAAGTCGAATCGGCAGAAATCGGCAGCCTAGCAGGCCTCCGCCCCGTCCGCCTCCCGTCGCCTCGTCCGATCCCCTCTTTCTCTTTCTCCCGTACCTCCCCCTCCACTTTCTCACGCCTTCTCACCTCCTCTGTCTCCCTCTTACCTTTCTCACGCCTTCTCACCTCCTCTTTCTCCCCCTCCCCATCCTCGTCCGCCTCCCATGCTTCACCTCCTCCTTCACCTCCTTGTCCTGGGGGGTCAGGAGGGAGCGTCCCAAGCGAGCACGCCTGTGGCAGATGGGCTCTCAACGGGGACAGCTTGCAGCGGATACCGGGTGCAAGACCAGCACGATAAGGATCGACGAGCAAATGCTCTCACGGGTGCGCCGATGGGGCCTCGAAGCAAGACCTTCCAGCCCCTGGCATGGGCGCTCGGCCGCTACTCATTTACGTGTACTGAACCACCAAACATGCAAATCACGTGAGCATGTCTGACCAACAACACAAAAACACGGCCTCCCCAACCTATCCAGCATGTAAATGCTGTGATCGGGGTGTGTGGCCGACGAGAAACGCTGACGTTGGGCTTCCAGGGGCCACAACACCTACCCACAATACGTCCCAAATAAGTGGGCCGAGTAGTGGACGCATGCCACTCCCAAGACAGAAGGAGGAGGAGGAGGAAAAGGAGGAGGAGGAGGAGGAGGGTGGAGGGAGGAGGAGGCGGAGGA